GGTCCAGCCTGGGCGAGGCAGAGACAAGACACAAAAGCAGATGAGAAGAGGAACCTCAGGGACTCCCAGCACCGTCATCTGGGCCAGACCCCCCATTGGGGCCTCTCCATGGGGACACTCACGCCCAGAAGTCCTCCACAGTGCTGAACTTGGTGACAAGGCGCAGGGTGGCCTGCCACATCTTGCTCTTGTCATTCTTGAAGAACCACAGTGCCCATCTGGGGAGGGAGGGGAGATGAGAGGTCAGCCACGCTGCCCCCCCACCCAGCCCCCACACTCCCTTCCTGGTGTTGCAGGGGCTGTCCATGGCTGTGCCCCCATACCTGTTTTGCAGGGGGTGCTTGCCCAGGCTCTCTGCCAGGAGCAGCTCCTGCTGCCAAGCCCTCCGCCGCCGCCGCTCCTCTTGCCTCCGCTGGGGAAGGAGGTACAGCCCTGAGGAGCCACATGGCCACCCCAGCAGGGAGCCTGTAGCCCCCCAGCCACCCCCAGACCATGACATAGACCCCATAGCGGGGAGCCCCCAGGGGATGAAAGGGCTGCCCAGGCCCAGCTGCAGAGAGAGCACTCACCTGCTCCCCCGTAGCCATCCTGCCCAGCACAGGCTATCCCCCGGCAGCCCCTGGCTCTTAAATGCCCACAGCCGGGTGGGATGAAGCAGCCAACACAGCTGCAGCTGGTGGGGCAGGAGGGCGGTGTGCTGTGGAGGAGAGCCAGGATTGCCCCTCCCTGGGATCAAGGAGCTGGGGGGATCCTCCCCTATGAGTCAGGGTGGGATGGGATCAGGATGGGGGGGTAGGATGGGGTATGGTGGAGATAGTGTGGGGTGGGATCAAGATGGTGTGGTATGGGGCAGGGTAGGATGGCTGGTACACAGACAGGGGGGATAGCACCAGGATAGGTTGTGGAGATGGGATGGGATAGGATGGGATGTGGAGAGTGGGATGGGCACAACATGGGATGGGAATGGGGTAGGATGAGGTGGGAAAAGGACATAATGAGGAGGGGATGCGATCAGGATGAGGGATCAGAATGGCACAGGGACAGGGTAGAACGTAGAGGGGATGGTTCGGGGACAGGATGGGATGGGGAGAGCCTGTCGAGGGGAGAGGATGGGGTCAGGATGAGGTGGGATCAGGATCGGGAGGAGGTGGGACAGGAACAGGGTGGAATGAGGATGGGACACGATGAGGACCAGGACAGGACAGAGTGGGGACAGCGTGGGATGGAATCAGGGCGGGTGGGGATGGGAGAAGGTGCGACACGCAGAGACCGTCCCAGAGGGGCCGCGCCGG